ATATGGACGCTAAAATATGGCCTTCTAATATACAATTAGAACATATGGATATTTTTTTTCGTAAAAATAAAATAAAGTATAACAATAATATCTATAATAACAACAACAACAACAATAATAATAATAATAATAACAATAATATATCCAGATAGCTAAATCTGAAGAGACAGATTTTGAGCAGAGTCTGCTACCAATTTCTGATTGCAGAAAGGCAGCAAATCGTATACAGAGTTTGTACTATCAGACAATGTCAACAAACTGCTGTCAAAAATATGACAAAGCTTGATGACATGCTATGCCAGCAAATTGGTAACAGAAACCGAACAGAGTCTACTAACATAACTTGACGGCAGATTGGCAACAGAAACCGAGCAAGATCTGTCATTTTCATATACAGCCTCGCCACGAGATGGATTCGCCTCTAGTAAGAAGAAAACATTCAGGAGTCCTATAAGAATTGGTGTATATAAATCAAATAGGCAAATCCCCTAAAGAGATTTCCAAGCTCTTCGGAGTGTGCTTTCTGAATCTCCGAATATTTTTTTGATTGTTTTATAACTTTCTTATGTGTATTTTGAAATGTCAAGCTAATCAATAATATTTTAGCAATAAAACTGTATTGATTGTGTGTTTCCAGTATATATAAATATATATATCTATATGTACGCAAAATTTCTTATAAGAAACCAGGTCGATTTAAATGAAAATGACAGATCTTGCTCTGTTTCTGCTGCAAATCTGTTGTTAAGTTATGTCAGCAGACTGCTCGATTTTTGCTCGCAATCTGCTATCAGATTCTGTCAGCAGGTTCTGTTTGATTTTTGCTGCCAGTCTGTTTGCATAGAATGTTAACAGGTTCTGTCAGCAGAACAGGAACAGAATGCGATATCAGTTGTGATCAGTTTGTTAACATCTTCTGATCAAATCTGCTATCAATCTGTCGATATCCTGCTAACATTTTGCTATTTGGTTAGATGAAGTGCGTGAATTTTACATGGATAATTACAATAAAAATGCCTCATCCCACAGCGGATTTTTTGTGTCTTTCTTTATAGAAGTCTGATTCTTTTGCGGCGGTTCATCCAACTCCACGACGCAGTAAGGTTCCACAGCTCCTTGTTGACCGCCGAGGTCGATAGCCCTTACAACCTTCACGAGCAAACGCCTCTCGCCAGGTACGTATTGCATTGGAGCAGGCGAAGATGTGGGGTGTCCTTGAAGACGTTGATGCGACGATGGTTGATGTATCATTGAATTCAAAGTGTTCTATAAGTGAAATCATCACAGTGAGCAAATAATAACAATATAACATGTGATAATTTACAAGTAAAGTGTTGTTACTTTCAACAATAATCTTCTATGTTTCGAAAAAAAAAATGAATCTAAGCATAATATAAAATTATAAACCTTGTTGAAGAATTATGCGATAAGAATTTTAATTTACATTATAAATGTGCAAGTATTTGTGATTAGGTATCATTTAATCTGATTGACAATGTCAATTGCTTGATGTCGATATAACTTACTACACTGTCGTAATGTGTAGGATATGAAAAGCCTGGCTGAGGAGGCGGCTCTCTCCATAATCGAGGACACGTGGGATATTGAGAAAGATTGAGATGAACATTGATGCCTCGCAGGGCACCCACTACAATTTCCGTTACCACTTCTTGTAACTGGCTTTCGTCCAAGTCTTTCTTTATTGTGCCCACTGCTGCTAGAGAGATCTTTACCTGTTAATACGGAAAATAATATAAATTATATAATATTAATTCACACATTAAGAGTGCTTCGACTTCTCCAATTGAACTTATTTCTACCGCAACCGCACCGTTTGTATCACTTTTCGTTATAGAGAATGTTAAAAAAATTCGCACAAAAAATAATTGTCGTTCGTTCTATGTCTATTGTTCGAGACGGCCAAGACTCTGTATAAACACGATGTATTGTCGAGATCGAGAACGAGTGATTATAAATAGCTGTGATTGCACAATGACGGGACGGAAGTTTCCATGTGTTGCATCACAGGAAATCCGTTGATAACAATGTTGCACGCACCTCAGGCCAACCATCGCATTTCAGATCGATCAGCAGCTTCTCGGTGATACAGACGATGTTGAGACGAGCTCGGAAACGATTGACATTGACTCGATAGTGATTAATATCTACCTTATCCCCTCGTTGCCGAAATGCTTTCAGCTGTAAAGCTGGAGTAGCCTCACAGTCGCATGTGATAGTCTAAAAATGATTACTTTTCTTAAGATGATTAATCGCTAATTGCATTTAAATAGAAAATTATTGGTTGTTTAATTATTGTTCCAAAACGCTTTAGAAATTTAAAATAGTTACACATATGATTTAACTAAAAAATTCTTCATATTGTATAGTTTTTATGTAACTATGACATTTGATTTGGCATTAAAGGTGTTGATCAAGCTTGAAAGTTTCTAAAAATAAAATTAAACGATCGATATAATCGAAAAAGGAAGTTAATCTTGATACAATTTCAAATGCAGAAAGCTAATCGGAGCGAGAAGGAAATATCTACGTACCACATCATCCTTTGAATCGCATTCGCAGAAGATATTTGACAAGGTTGGCGGATAAGTCTCTGGAAGTACACGAACGAATTCGACACCAACTCCATGCTAAAACATATAAATGTCTAATTGCGACTGTACATATCGGCCGACGAAATACATACGCTTAGAAACACACGTCTGCGTCACTTCTTTATTACGTGTCATTATCTCATTGCCATCTTTTTTATCGGTCACGCAATCGTGCGGTATACTTGTTTGCATATTCAGAATAAGAACTAAAAATAATTCGTCGTATTTATATACCTACACAACAATAATATACTATTTATTCTAAATCAAACAAGAATCCAATTCTTATATATTGTATCAATTAAGTTATGTACATCTCAGACAGCAAAGGACATATACAATAAGACAATTTTTAGACATCACATCATCATAAGACTACTCGATTTTGGATACACGTGCCATCTGGAATTTCTCTCGTTGATTCTATAATAAGTTTGAAATTCCTTTAGAAAGATTAATTCAATTTGTACCGAATAATCATATCGTTTTTGTCAAAATTATCATTACTAATCATTACTTTGTCATACAATTAATTTTCTTTCTTTTAAAATTATTTTTTGATCGAAATTGTAATTAAAAAAAATTTTTAATTACAATTTTTTACACCTATTGATACATTATAATGCATCACGTCGTAACGTAAAACATTTTAATTTAGATTACAAATTTATAATTGTTATGCACGATAAACTATTAATTAGTTAAGCTAAAATTTGGTTTGACGCTCAAAGAAATTTTAAGTTATCCCAACGAAATGATGCCATTGGCTACACGTGGCAAGGACAGCGCCGAACCGTAACGTCTTTTTAAGCAATGCTATTATAGTAACCTTTGATGTGACGTATCTTGACCTATGTAAATAATCAAGAATATTCTGTCTATACAGGAGAGCAAAAAAAAAATCACGCAAGATTAATCTGATTTTACCGCAAGATATTCATTACAATATTTTCTCATAATTTATAGCTGCCGAAATAATTGTCAATGTATAGAGGTATTATATTACTTACTAGACGATAGCTTTTAATTACTTTCAATTTGTTTATATATA